TTTATTTTTTGAGAAAGAAAGAGGGAGATTGTTAACTTGTTATTTGCTATTATATCGCGAGAGTATCTGTTGTATCGCGAGGGTATCTGTTGTATCACGAGAGTACCTGTTGTATTGCGGGAGTTCTGGAAGCCCGGGTGTTCTTGTTGTGTGAGCGGGGAGAAAATGGCGCAGGAATAAAGCTTTTGGAATGAGATGACGTCGTCTTGTATTTTGAGTTAACATTCCAGTTGTCCTCGGAACTAGTTTTTCTGAGACAAGTTAGCCGGAAAGGACGCAATGAACTCAGAATTCCGAGCTGCGAGCTCGTAGGTTTCAGAGGACCCCCGAGTTCCCAAATTTAAAGATGGCTGCTCCCAGTGCTACCAAGAAGTAGTTATCGTCTTTATTTTTTTCTTATTTATATGGTCTGTTGTCTTTCTTTTTGCTATTTAACAGCACTGGTAAGTTGTTTATTGTTGTTATGAAGAGTTACGTTGTTTAAAACATTGCTGACAAAATTGACTGGTGTTATTGGTTTTTACCTTTCCTGGCATTTACATTTGATTTGTAATGTTTTTCTGGTTGTATGTGGCAACTGTCAAAGGGTGTGTGTGATGTGCAGCATACTTGGTTACATAACTCTTTTGGTTTCGTACTCAACAACACTGGTGGCATCCATTTGTTCAGAGTTGGAAGCTGGAACACAAAACAAGTCTGTTAAGTCATTTCCTGCTCGGAAATTCCGAGTTCCGAGGACAACTAAAACGCACGATAAGACTCCCTATTGCTTTAGGTTATTATCAAACATGAGAACATCGGTCATTTTTTGTCACTTTTTGTGTTAGGGCTGCACTTTCAGCACAGCTTTGTCAGATATCTGTTCAATTTTTTGTCTGCGCAACGGCAAAGTTTTTTTCTTTGCTGGATTGCATGTGCTGCCGTGACCCTGAGGATGGGCACTCATTTTAGTATTCAGTGGTGGACTGAGCCTCAGGAAACTAGGACCCTCGGGAGGCCTCTGGACAGGATCGTAGATGGAAGAGCAGTAGCCTCTAGGTTAGGCGGTACAGTTCTGGTCCCACGACAAGTCGGCTGCTGTTCCAGGCAGGAAGACAGAGCAGGGGCCTCTAGGACAGGAGGCTCAGCTCTGACCTCAGGAGCAGCCTGGCGATAGCGGCATTGTAGTCAGTGTTAAGTAGGAGAAGCAGAATTTCCCACTCAAGAGGGAATAGCATCAACCTGGACCACAGTGGGGGCGATGGTAGGAGGAGTGGAAGAATGGTCCACCAGAAGAGATGGGGCGGCACTGACAGAACCAGGCTGCGATTTTTAGAGGACAATCCCACCAGAGGAGGAGTGGTGGAACCAACAAGACCAGAGGCCTCATTGTTGGGTCAGTGGCCTGGAGGAGGCAACATCTGGGTTGAGATGTAGAGTAAGTGACAGCCCACCAGGGGTGAGGAGGAGGCGCTGGCTTGAATGGTTGGTGGAGGTGAGTCCAGACCAAAAACAGTGAGCAGATCTTCAGCAAAAGTCCAAAATTTCACAGACTTCATAGGATGTGACTCAAAATATTGATAAATCCACTGCGCCCAGTTTTTTCATAATCGGTGAAGGATGGATTCAATCAACAGTAGTGGTGTGCATCTCTACCTGCCTCACGATTCGATCCGATTCCGATTATCTGCCTAACGATTCGATTTGAGTCTGAAATGCATCACGATTCTTCACACAAAAATTTTCGTTACTTAATAAAAGCAGTAGAATAATTTTCAATTTCTTTTTGATTTCGAAATCCCTGAAAAACAGAACATTCATCTATTCACTATAGTGAGCAATAATGTTTAAAGTGTGCTGCCTATAATTACTTAAATAATATAAAAAATAATGTTTTCCGTAGAGCAGCTTTAAGATAGAATATTACTGAACTTAAAAATAGTAAACAAATACTGTGTTAAGTGATTCTTTCACATCCAGGATCCCAAAACGGAAATTAGCCCAGACATCCGATTTTATCGGATACATCTTTGATTACTGGTAATGTTGGCCCTGCATCCCTGTCCAATTGCTTCTAGGACAACGCAGTGCGCATGTCTTTGCAACTCTGCCCCCAGAAGTAATTGTAAAACCTCAAAATTTTGTTGTCCTCGCATAGACATAGACCAGGGGTCGGCAACCTGTTACCATCAAAGAGCCATTATTACCCGTTTCCCACAGTAAAGAAAACACCGCAGCAGCCGCGGCGTTGTGGGCGGGGCCTACCCTCAGACAGCAGCCGGTACCGGTCGCTCGTGTACGTCAAAGTTATCTTTCATAAGAAGATAATCAATAAAACGATTTATATAAAGTGGATCCAGAAGTTGTAGCCCGTCTCTGCCTACAATATTTAGATATTTTTCACACTGTTGGTGGTTTTACTGAGCAGGTGCCACTTTTGTCATACGTTTCTTTTTAAAACATGTTTAGACTGTTCAGAATACAAATCCAGGCTCTGTCACGTTTGATTATTGTAATTAAACTTTGTAGGTGGGGAAGGTCAGAAAAGAATCTGATCATTTTGTTTTTCCCTCATTTACAGTGACGGAGACAATGGTGCAGTGCGCCTGGCTCTGGTGTTAACCAAGTTAAATTTTATCTATTTTCACAAGAAAACAAAACAGTTAAAAGCAGGGCTTGTGTTGTGTTGACCGGATAGTTCCCGTTTTTGACTATTTATTTTGACGGAGAAAGAATAGAAAGACCCCGACGCATGCAGACGAACTGACACTTTATTAGTTTCGCACATCGCAGATGTAGCTAAATCACTTGATTCCCATCTGAGCTGGACACTGAGCTCAGCGCAGCTCGCTGTCAGCACGTACGTACGGCGCACAGTGAGCTGAAGATGTGGAGAGGGGCTTGGAGCACGTCGCAGAACCAGGGCGCATGCAGATTCCTCCGACTGAAGCGAGACTTGTCGCTTAGAAAATGCTCCCTGATTATGAAACTTTGGCTGAATAGTGCTTGTTCCTGTGTCCAGTCTGGCGACACATCCAGGAGCCGTCTGAGGAGAATCCCAGAATCTCACATCCTCGTCAGCTCAGAATGCGCATATGATTACGCACAAGCGTGACGCGTCTACCCGGTCTCACAGTAAGACCGGGTTGGAACTGTTCAGGTTTACGCAGACAATCTTTACATTTAGAATTGGCATACAGATGTAAAATTAATGCAGTAAAATATAAAGCATTTTATTTAAATATCCATTCATTATTTTACAAGCACAGAGAGCCGCATCAGATGGATGGAAGAGCCGCATACGGCTCCAGAGCCACGGTTGACGACCCCCGACATAGACATAGGGAGAGAATCTCATTATGTCACGTTGCTGCATCAATGCGGAATCATGCACGGCTGAATCACGATGCATCTTAGAATCGATCATTTTTCCCACCTCTAATCAACAGTGGGCGCTGATGAAGTCCTTGCCTGTGAAGGAGTTTCCTCTGGACCTTTCTGGAGGATGTTGGGTGAATGTGGTGCTGGCTGATAAGTTGGATTAATTGCTTGGTCCATGTTGGTCAGTTCCTTCTGTCAGGGTTGGGTGATATTTATTTATTTATTTAACTTATGTTTTTCAGGAGGATAAACTGCTTGAGAAGTAACATCTTGTTTTCGAGCAGGTCCTCCTACAACACAACCAATATAGAATAAGTAGGCAGAGTTAGTTAGTATGTGTATATATATATACACACACATGCATAAATAAACATATATGTAACATACATGTACATACATACCCATTTACAAAATAAAATTAAATTCAATAAAACTGCTGTGAGTCACTCAAAGAGAAATAAGGGCATTACGTTACATCATATTTAAACTGAAGTGAACTGACATCCAAGTTGAATTACAATAATTGGCAATAGAAAACAGCATTGCAGCAAATATATGCACAGATTCATTAAAGCATAAATGAAATAAAACAACCACAGAAGCCAAAATGCAGTAATCCAGGAGGCAGCCAGTTGAAACGGTTAAACACTAAAAAGCTGGGGAATAGAAATGGCAAGACGGATGATAGGACATAACGTAAAACTCCTGAATGATAACGAGGGTCCTGAGACTAGCGAGATGTGGTATGGAAGGGTCAGGGAACACAAGGACACGTAGGAGGAGGGAGAAAACCTGGACTGGAAGAGACGAGGAGACAAGGGACACAACATCGTGAGGATTCTGGAAGTTTTGCTTGTTTGTGCGTTTTTTCCCAGATTGTTGATGGCACTGAGCTGCGATTGTTTTGAATAAACCAAGAATAACAACGGCCTTGTTTTCATGTGGTTACGACTACTACTAGGCAATAGCTTCTATATATAAACATATAGGGCTGCGCAGTGGCACAGTGCTTAGAGCTGTTGCCTTGCAGTAAGAAGGTCCTGGGTTCGCTTCCCGGCCTGGGATCTTTCTGCATGGAGTTTGCATGTTCTCCCTGTGCATGCGTGGGTTCTCTCCGGGTACTCCGGCTTCCTCCCACAGTCCAGACACATGACTGTTAGGTTGATTGGTCTGTCCAAATTGTCCTTAGGTGTGTGTGTGTGTGTGCACATGATTGTTTGTCCTGTGTGTCTCTGTGTTGCCCTGCGATGGACTGGCTCTCTGTCCAGGGTGTACCCCGCCTGATTGCCCGTTGACCGCTGGAGATAGGCACCAACACCCCCCCCCCCCCCCCCGCGACCCCACATGGACAAAGCGGGTTCAGACAATGGATGGATGGATATAAACATATATTTATATAAACATGTTAAAAATGTGTGTGTGGCTGATCGCAGCACCCCCATAGGAAAATATGTTCCCACGGCACTGACTAGAAGGCCACTCGCCATGTATTCAGCTAATTTTCTTTTAAACTAATGAGCTCTAAGGCCGTGTAAATGTGACTTTTTATGAGCTGCTGCACACGCCTGACCCAAATCATGATTGTACTCCGAGAGCTGTCCTATCAGTCTGACTGGTTTCTCTCCTCTTTTTCTCATCAGACTCTTACGACCCCAGCCGAGTAGAGAAGGTGTAACATCTGACCGCTGTGGGGATTGGTCTTTCTCGAGTTAACGGCTTTTTCCAGTAACAAAGATGTTCATCTCACCTCATGGCTCAGTCAGCTGTGACCTTGATGATCTTTACACACCACTCCTCTCAGAAGCCACAGTCCCAGTGCTGTAAAACCTATAAAAGCTACTGCTGGGCGCTGTTTCCCCAGGTTGTTGTCCTCCCTTTATTTTTCTGACCAGGTGGATTTCCTCTTTTCTAAGTTGCTTAAGGAAGGTGCGGTTGCTCCCAGCTGCACTTGCGAGAGCGTCTGTGTTGAAACATGAATGTAAAAGTGCTTTTATTCAACAAGCAAACAGAAGAAATGTAACTAAACAGTATTGCATTACAATCAGTAGTAACCTTCAATAAATGTAAATAATAATATAAGATTTATTTAAAAAATAACAAAGTCAGCATTAAATTGAAATGTATATTTTCATATGTGTGTGTAGATTTTTGAGCCTGTAGTCTTCGTGTATAGCCAATAATAACCCTGCTCTTTATTCTTCTACTGGTGTGAGAGTCTGAGAGTTTGGGTGGCAAAGAGAAACACTGTGGTCTAGAATAGTTTCACTCAAGAGCAATATAGCTGTCGTGTACAGGGAGTCTGTGACGTGGGTCTGTTAGGAAGTTTGTTTCAGCAGCTAGACCCGTTTGCTTTAGAGCTTTAAACTTTAGGTACAAATATCAGGTTTGCACTGCTGAGATTTTTCACTGTGTCGTTAGACAACAGCGAGTAATCTCCTCACACGCTCCACACGTGGAGGAGAAATGTCCTGTTAAATCCGGTACTAACTAAAGAAAATGAGAATATTGTTACCAGGATGTCGTGCGTCGCTGTGCAGGTTCATTAGTGTTGAAGCCGTCCTTTGTGGGTAATTTACTACTAAAGCTCAACGTCAGTGACTTAAAAACAACACAAGCAACAACATCAAGTTTTTTAGCACTGGAACTACTGAGCTTTTTATTTTCTGGTGAAAAATACCTAGAACTACTAGTCTTGTGCTAATCTGCAAAGGCCTAGTAGTGTAACGCAATAATGCTCCTGTGGAAGAGGATCTGAACGTGATTCGCTCTGACATATCAGTGATGTAGTAGCAATAGAAACACCTGATGGACGTATACCAAACCCAACGTTATGCTATGCATTGGATACGGAATTAAAAGGTACCCGTTCAGACTGGTGTCACCTGTTTAACCAGATCAGCTGTTAGTAGATTTACATGGAAGCAGCTCTAGTGACAGAAGGTTTTGTGTTTGTCCTGCTTCCAGTCGTCCAGACCTGCACACCTGTGCTCCAGGTAATGACTTATCTGGTCATAATCATAGAAGTTTTGTACCGCTATTTCTTTGTAACATAATCTAGACAACTGGTGCACATTTTACTTTAAAATTTTCTATTTTCATACAAAAATGTGTGCAGCCTTTTTTTGTAACTATGGCATCTTCTCCCCTTTTTATTTACAGTAGATGCATGTAACCTGTAAGAAGTCACACTAAACATGTATTTGAACATGAATGCATTTGTTACATTATGGTTTATCTAGTAAACATTTTGTACATATATATTTTCTTTTCAAAAGGTATGCTGCCTATTTAAATGACAATACAGTATTTTTAGATTATTGTGAAGACGGAGCTGTTTATGAAGGCACAGTAGAGGTCCGTGTTTAGTAAGGTCACAAATACCGTTGGACCATGCTGCAGACTGATCAGAAATAAAAGTCTTTGCATGAAATATTCTGTTTGTGGTGGTATTTATTGTACTAATGTGTGTAAACAAAAGCAAACATGTATACCTGCAATTTAATCACATGGAGGAATTCTGGATCTTACTGTCCGCGCTCGAATGATCGCTTAATGCTGGAGGTCCCGTTTGTGCGTACACATCAGGGGCGTGTCCAGGGAGTGGCCTGGGGTAGCACATGCCACCCTTGGAATCTGATTGGCCACCCCAGGTGCCAACACACTAATAAATAGGCTTTTCATTGTCCACAAAAGTCTTGGGGGTAAAACAAAAAAAGCATAACCATTGGTGCCACCCATGCACAAAGTTGTGCCTCACCTGGGCCACCCCATTTTAAAAGATCTGGACACGCCACTGGCACACATCTGGGAAAAGAACTTTTGTTCACTCAGCTCCTTCTACATGGAGCAAGCTTCAAAAAGATTGAAACTCACCTGAATTCATTTCACTAAACGCTTTCAAGTGCAGAGAGAGCCTTCCAGTCGAACTCTTTACATTGTAACTGTTATTCATGATGTGTAACTGAAGTTTTTGTTTTACTCGTGTAGCTGCTGTGCTGCCTCTTGGCCAGGACTCGCATGTAAAACAGGTGTTTAATCTCAACGGGACCATTCCTAATTAAATACAATAAAAAACAATTTTCAGTTTTGCTGTATAACCTGCAGAAAAAAGTGCTTTAGTGAGAATAGAGAAGCAAATCTCACTTTTGTATGATAGATACAATAGACGCATGTATATAATATCAATCAGAAACATTAACCAATCGTTTTGAAGCCACGCATGGGTTACCCAGAACGTCCAGGGAACTTGTTTGGCTTTGACTTAATGAAGGTAACAAATGTCACCAGACATGATGTTTATATATATATAATGCTTTATTTTAGGTTTGTGGAACAGCAGAGAAGAAGTTCTAGCTTTTATCACCAATCCCTGAGGTACACAATAATCCTGATTGATGATCCAACAGTCTCCATAGCTAAAAAAATAAATCTTATTTTTATGAGTGATTTTTTTGGGGGGGGGGATATGATCCCTTGAACCCCTTCAGGTTCTATTTCTTTTAGCTTCCACTCAGTCAAGGTGCATTTTCCGAAACAACCAAATGTTTGCCCTCTGATGTTGCTCTCACTGCATGTAGCATGCTGGTCTCCTCTCCTGCAGCAGTCTGACATCGCCCCCTGCGGGGGAAAGTCTATTCCCAACTGGTTTAGCTTTGTGTTTATCATTTGAATTCCAAATATTCCAAACTCCATCTAAACACCACAGGCAGAACTGACCATAGAAGCTTCTATACAACATGAGCGGTGTACAGTAGGACTGCTACGACGTGTGAAGGACGTCGACCACTCGATTCTAAAACAATCGACATCAAATCCGGTAGTCAATGCTAGTGTTGCCAACTCAGCGATTTTGTAGCTGTTCCTAATGTCTTTTCGGCCTTCTGCAGTGACTTTCTAAACACCAAACATAGCAGCATTTCTCATGGCTCTTTTCTACTTTGTTGAAAATTTTCTTGTTGATATTCCCTGCAGATTAGCAAAAATTGAATATTTTTTCGCTTTGAACCGTTCTTCAGGAAGGGAGAGAAGGATCTGTACATAATCACGTTACATTGGCTGAACAATCATAAACCTTTCAGTTGGAAACTGCTGATTTATGCCTGCTGCAGATTCAAGCTTCTATTGAAGGCACAGACGTGACTCTGCAGCCGCCAGGCACTTTGGTCCTTCCTGCAATTGGCATAAAAAGTCGGGAGTTTCAACCACCGTCCCATTAACACATGCAGCTCTGGGGATGGTATTATATAAGACACCTGCTCCCTTTTGCTCGGTGTGCAGTTATCACAATCTAGATGGAGGGAAAAACAACGGAGAAATTATGAAGGGAAAAGGCTGTGGTTCCAGAAAAGGCTGGCAAATGCACAAAAATGACAGCGTGTCTCTGAGCAAGGTCTGACATTAACTATTGTGCTCACTAGCCAAAGTGGCTAGTAACTTTGTGAAGTTACCAGCCAATCAGAATTTACAGTAGCCAAATATTTCTGCATGGGGCTGCACAGTGGTGCAGTGGTTAGAGCTGTTGCCTTGCAGCAAGAAGGTCCTGTGTTCGCTTCCCAGCCTGGGGTCTCTCTGCATGGAGATTGCATGTTCTCCCTGTGCATGTGTGGGTTCTCTCCGGGTACTCCGGCTTCCTCCCACGTCCAAAAATATGACTGTAAGGTTGATTGCTCTGTCTAAATTGTCCTTGTGTGTGTGTGTGTGTGTGTGTGTTTGTGTGTGTGTGTGTGTGTGTGTGTGTGTGTGTGTGTGTGTGTGTGTGTGTGCGCGCATGATTGTTAGTCCTGTGTGTCTCTGTGTTGCCTTGTGATGGACTGGTACTCTGTCCAGGGTGTACCCCACCTGATTGTCCGCTGACCGCTGGAGATAGCCACCAGCGACCCCCACCCCCACCCCACCCCCCGCAACCCTGCATGGACAAGCAGGTTCGATGGATGGAAATTTTTCTGCAGTAAAAATAAGAGATTATAAATGCCACGGAATGGAGATATGATCCTTTCATTCTTGACTTTTCCCACAAAATACCTTAAAACGGCCCTGGGTGTGGGACTGAGTTTTGAAGGTGATCTGAATTGTATAAAGTATATAAATATTATATGCTCATAAATTATTGCTTTGTAAAGTTGCAACTAGAGGCCGGCCGATAATTTGTCCCGGAATCGTTCAAAGTCTTAAGTTTCGATTCCTACTTTCGATGCCCAGTCTGCCGACCATTAGAAGAATCCGCAGCCAGTGTCTGTTAAAAAAACATGATCTGTAAATGCTGATTATCGTCTCTCAGAGCCGGTCAAACCAGCTGTCCACCGCTGCTACTGCGGAGCCTAGAGATACCCTGAACGCAGCATCGTGTTGCCCCCTCCCTTCCTTTCCCTCAAACTGTAGGAGCGTGGCGGCAAAAATGCAAACAAACATATCTGCCGACATAAAACAATGTAAGTAAATGGAAGGTTCTAGCGTAGAACCTTCCTTTTATGCTAAGCTAAAGCAAAACGTACTGCTTCCAGATCAGGAGAATGACTGAGCTGGATAAATCCTTTTTCTCACTTGTCTAACTCTGGGAAATCTAACAACCATCGACATTGAAATGTACCACCACTATTTTACAAATATGCAAAAAATATAAATAAAGAGCGAGTTTATCTGATGGCGTGCAGACTTCTGGAGAATGGCATCAAGCACTATCAACCAACTCTCCGAGTTGCAGTATTTCTGTGGTCAGGTCTCTCTCCGAGTCCGCTCCACAAGCGGTCAGCCCGCACGGCAGACAGGCACCGAAGCGGTCAGAGATGCGCCGGGCTGACCGCTAGGGAGAACCGGGTGGAAGAATGGAACACACAAGTCTCCCTCCAAGAGCTCCACCAACATGTCATATTTCAACCCATTTGTATGTTAAATGCACTGGTTGTACACCCATCGACATATACCCTATTAATTATTTTACCGTATTACATCTAAATTTCATGGTTAATCAGTACATGTTAAAATGGTAGTTAGCTAGCTACTTTGATAAGCTCAGCTAGTGTAAACCGGCAGTGACCTAAAATACATAAATATAATTTTACTTACCGAAAAAAATGAAGTGGAGACTCCTTGGATGCTCTATTAGTGCAATTAATACCACAGCAAGTCATTTTGTCCAACAACTGCACAAAAAATATCCAAAAAATAATACACAAACGCTACAACTACTGGTCTAATTTCAGAGACTACAAATCGCTGAACAGTTTTCAGGCGAGACCGAGGCTCAGACTGAGGCCTTGGTCACGTGGGTCTGATGCTCATTAATTATACAGAATTTTAGGCTTTTAAGACACTTAAACAGAAGTTAGATTTGTCATGACTATAAACTAGATCTATTAAACCAAAAACATGTTTTGGAACCAGGCTGTAAAAACATTTATTTCTGCTGTGAAATTGGTATTTTTAACATGGGAGTCAAGGATTTGCTCGTTTCGGACACCAGCCCCCAGCGGATGAGGGTGGAAGTGCAATTTATTTCACTTCCGCGTTGGCCTCAATTTCTGTCCCGCATTGTGGGGGCTTGCTAACAATAGACAAAATTTTACTTCTGAGTGGAATATTCCTTTAAGTTTTGTGTATAATGTTTGCACAGTTTTTATGTATAGTTTAGAATTTATTTTTTACTACAATGTGGTTGTGTGCTTTACTTTGTGACTTATTTTATTGAAGATTCTAACCCTAACCCTCTATTATCTCATTCAATTCAATTCAAAAATACTTTATTAATCCCAGAGGGAAATTGATTGCTGTAGTAGCTCAGAATAATAATAATAATCAAGTCATCAAAGAGTTATTGTATATTACAATGGCTGTTGGCAGGAAGGATCTCCAGTAGCGGTCAGTGTTGCAGCGAAACTGAAGAAGCCTCTGAGTGAAGACACTCTTCCATTGTCGGACAGTCTTGTGAAGAGAATGCTCAGGGTTGTCCATCATGTTCTTGATTCTCTGGAGAATCCTTCTTTGCATTATCTCCTCCAGTGGTTCCACAGTCATCCCCGGAACAGAACCAGCCTTTTTTATTAGGCTGTTGAGCCTTTTCAGGTCCCTGCTTCTGATGCTACTACCCCAACAGACGATGGCTGAAGAGATTACTATGGGATTAGATTTGTGCCAATAGGATCAAGAAAAACACTTTGAAAATCAAACAAATATTAAGACATTGAGAGAAAAATAAATTGTTTCAAAAGAAAAACTTACGATCTGAATCAGATTCTTAAAATGATCAAGAAAAACACTTTGACGGTCAAACAAAAATTAAGAAATTGACAGAAAAATATTGACAAAAGGAAAAAAAGTTTCATAAGTAAAACTTACTATCTGAATCAACTTCTTAAAATGAGTAACAAAGTATGTTTCCTTTTTCTGTTTGCCTCTATGTGTTTTTGTTATCAATTTCCTTAGTTTCATTCTCGTTGCTCACAGCTTTGCTCTCACTACCAGATTTGCACTTACACTGTCTGGCTTTCTCCTTTGCAATCCCTGAGTTTTTGGTTGCAATTCTGACACAACCCTTTCGGGTGGGTGGGACTTCTGAGAAGTGCTCTCCCATAGGACAGTGGTTTCTCTTGTGACAGTTCAGTGACCCGGAAGTGATGTAGCCTCCAAAACTTTTTTTTTCCACCTCGGTCAACAACATGAATTTTGAGCCCCAAACACGTTATTTCTGCTGTCTGTGGTGTCTACTAAGGATCTAAAGTGAGTATTGATAATATACTTTATCTTTTCTTAGTTCATCTATAAGTTAAGCCACTTTTGAAGTTGGTTTTAACCAGACGTTAGCCCACTAGCTAGCTGCTAAGCAAGCCATTGTGCTAACCTCTGGACAATGGTCTATTGTTCCAGAGAGACATATTAAAAAGTCATCTTAACATATTCATTTTTATTCCATGTTACTTGGACGGGCTAAACAAGTTCATAGTTCTGCCTGCTCCTTTTTCAGTGAAACGAATGGATTATATGATGTAACTCTGACTGAATAATTATCTAAGTGAGTATGTTTGATAATACATTTCTTACCAGTAAACAGATCTGACATTTGTTTGTCAGAACAGGACAAATCAGATTCAATGTGCTTTCTGTCACCCTAAATCAGATCCGTGTCTGATGTTTTTATTACTTAAGTTTGTATGAACAGTACATTTGATACCACTTTTACATCTCTGAAGTGAAACAGATGTCACATAAGCACTTGAGGAAGTGGGACACTAAATGTAAACAATGGATAAAACAAAATTGTATATTTTGTGAGGTACTGGTTGAAGATAGTTGGGAAGTACTGATCTAGGTAATGCACCACAAGCATTTGTATTTTACAAGCTTGTTTGGCATCGAAATAATTACAACCCTCTTCTTTTTCTGTCACACTTAAGACATACATAAACACACACCAATTTCTATGTCACAGCTGATGCCTTCATTAAATCTAATAAAATCTATAGTAACTATAGTCCGGTGACTAGTGTCTGGTTTAGCTACATGTAGATTAGCTGGAGTAATATAGTCTAACTCTGCCTCAACTGGTGACTTTCTACTTCATTGTCAGCCAGACAAAATGTTGCTACAGAGAAACGCCCAAGGTACTGACCCCACAATAGAAAATCATAATGTCCACATTTATTTCACACAATCTCAAACGTCACACTAAAATTAAACTTTTAGCTCTGATTTAATTATTTCCTTATTGATATCAGTTTTCCCTTTGTTGTAGCTAATCCTCGGGTGTCAGCAGGAGGAGGTGACCACCTGCATAACGGAGCACCCTGGTTCTGAGCCAGTTGCACCTTTGTGCAGCTCTTTGGGGAGGCGATGCTCAGCAGGTTAAACAACTGTAAAATTCATTTTGTTCGTAGTTTTTGTTTAGATCTCATACATCACCAGTTTTTCTTTCTTACAGACACATGCCTCCGTGTGGTCAGGTGGTGTTGGTGTGATCTGGGAGGGCACACTCATGTCGTCATCTCCTTGTGCCGTCTCCAGGATCATGATGGGAGTTCTCTGTGCCTATAAAGCAGGGTATTTACTTCTGGGCCTGGAGGGCCGGTATCCAGCACGTTTTAGTTTTAACTGTTTCAACACACCTGATTTCAGTCCGGAGATAATTAACAGGATTCTGCAGAGCTGCTGCACAGGTAATTCAACCACTGATTCAAGTGTGTTGGAGCAGGGAAACAACTAAAACGTGCTGGATACCAGCCATCCAGGACTAGAATTGAACACCCCTGCTATTAAGCCTTCCTCCCTCCTCCGGACTTTAAACATTAGTATTTTATTATGGTTTACCTGATTTAGTAAATAAATCTCAATTTATAAATTTCCTGTTTTGGTGCCTGTCCATAAAATCCTGCATTAGACACTGAAAGCTGAATGGATGCCTTTCATTCACTTTGACATTCAATGTATTTTTAAAGATAAACAGCCAATATTAATTTCAAGTGTAACAGAGTGGTGCAAAGTAATTGCTGATGTCATGATTTTTGCAATAACCTGACCTTCATGCAGAGAAACTCAGGAGACAAATGAGCTAAAAACAGTTTATTAAAATGTTTGACAGATGACTGAAGAGGTAACAGCTGGAGATCAGGAACCAGAAGCTTCTGCGAGGAAGAGCAGAGGTTAGTAAGAGGCAACAGTCAGGTTTTTCTTAGACTGTGCAGGTAGCTTACAGAGACTCAGAAACGCCACAGAGATGGAGCCACAGGTTTTAGCGTTTAAAGAATGACTAAAGAATGACTTACAAAAGGAAAAGTTTAGGTACTTACGGTCTGAAGTTGTAGCGCAGACGGGAGACAGCAGAATGGTGGAGAAACAACAAGAAGTCTGGAAGAATGACAGCATGAATTGCAAGCGGGTGAGCAGAAGGTAGTGGGTAAGCCGACTGCCAGTATGGTTGTGTGATCAGGAGCTTCATGGAAAGAATTCCCATAGATCTGCATAGAAAATGAGAATGTAAGTTTGAAAAACGGCAGAATCTTGGGCTAGATATGGGTTAAACACTGATGAGTGACCAGCTACCAGCTTTTATTCAAGGATGGGGTTACAGGTGTGTGAGGATGTGTCTGCCCCATGAGAAGAGTTTTCAGGTAAGCCTCTCCATGGTGCTCTGCAATGGTGACTAGCAAGGCTAATGAAGAGATTAAAGGGAACACAAACCCAGGACTCCGACCCAAACTCCTAACAGCAACACAACGACTCCTCCACGGGAGTACAGTCACACGCAGCTGCCCGAAGTTCAGCATCAGGCAACCTGTAGGCGATGTAATCATACGTGGCTTCTGAGCATGCAAGTTTACTCTAGCTGTACAGCGTACAATAATAATAAAGATTTATATTCTGTTGTGTTGTTCACCTTGCAGGTTCTTTTAAAATCTTAGCCTGTAACTGCTTACAGCAGGTCTTTCAGGTCTTTTGAACTAGACACAGAGGTTCAGGCACAGGTAGTCAGACTCCTGATATGATAGAGCATCCACCACCACCGACTCCTGATATGGTAGAGCTTCCACCACCACGGACTCGAACAATAGGTCCATATGCTTGTCAACTGGAAACAATGGAAAAAGATTACCATTAGTACAGATATTTATCCATAACCATCACTGTGGGTTTATTATACAGCATATGAACTACATGAGGTGGGATTGGTCTGCAGTAGGGATGTGTATTTTTGACAGAATTTATTGTAGGAATATTCAATAAACAGTCCAAACTGATACTTAACATGTTTAACATGGGTTATCTGAACCATAATAGCGAGATTTAAATTTCAATGGTGGAAACAAAACCCAATGCACACTGCTGCCAACTAGCGGTCGACATTTAAAGTGCACCAACAACAAAGAAAATACACAAATGTTTGCATGTAAATTCTTCCAAAAATTAGATACACTGCTTTTGAAAATGGATGTAATATCACAGGAAAAAATATCACGATATATTGCCATATCGATATTTTAGAGACACAGTTTGAGAACATCGATACAATATCACTGGAAAAATATATCGCGATATATTGCCATATTGATATTTTCTTACATCCCTTGTCTGCAGTGTACTTTGTGTACACTATGGTGTGTCTTATCTCACCAGCTGCAGTTGATGCATGTGGCCGTGTAGCACTTCCTTTGTAATGCAATGCAGTAGTTTTCAATCTAAAAAGAAAGAAAGAAAGAAAAAAAAAGAAATAGCTTTTAGACAAAAACTATAGATTTTATCTAAAAATTAAACAATTAAAAGCATGTATTTAACTCATTATTGATTATTTGTCCTGGATAACATTCTTTTGATGGAAAATACAGAACACATGACAGAAAGCACATTGAATCTGATTTGTCCTGTGCTGACAAACAAATGTCAGATCTGTATACTGGGAAGAAATTTGTTATCAAACACACTCAATTAGATAATTATTCAGTCAGAGTTACATCATATAATCCATTCGTTTCACTGAAAAAGGAGCAGGCAGAACAATGAACTTGTTTAGCCCGTCCAGTAACATGGAATAAAAAATGAATATGTTAAAATGAGTTTTTAATACGTCTCTCTGGAACAATAGACCATTGTCCTGAGGCTAGCACAATGGCGTGCTTAGCAGCTAGCTAGTGAGCTAGCATCTGGTTAAAACCAACGTAAAAAGTGGCTTAACTTACAGATGAACTAAGAAAAGATAAAGTATATTATCAATACTCACTTCAGATCCTTAGTAGACACCACAGACAGCAGAAATAATGTGTTTGGGGCTCAAAATTGATAACAAAACTGATAACAAAAACACATAGAGGCCCTCCCCCTGCCACACCTGGTGTGGGGTGTGGTGCCTTGGTCTGCCTGAGTGTTCGTGGCTCCCGGGCCAGGAGGTTTAAGATCTTTGGCGTCTGCTTGATCAATCCCGGTGGCTGTCTGGTGGGGTCTGGGTCCCTGGGCTCTGCTGGGTCCCCAGTGGGGGTGGTCGCCCCTGGGTCCCAGGCTTGGCCGGCTAGGGGGTGGGAGGCTGTGAGCGGGCCTGTGGGCTTGCTGCTGATATCTCCCGGGACTCTGCCGGCTGCTGGTTGTGGCCCCCCGGGGCAATCCTCTGTGCCTTTCGAGGGGGGCGGGGGCCTTTCTGGTTGCAGTCTCCTTGGTGTTCCTGTGTTCTGGGGCAGCACCTGTATCTCTGGGACTTGGAGCTCCCCCCGTCTCCTACGCATATTTGTGGGGTGGATCTGTGGTCCCTCACACTCTCTGTTGGACGCTCCTATAGAGAAACCTTACATAAACAAGCGGGTGTACACACACAGGTGCTCACATGGTGCTCTCAAAAGTATGGACTTGGGCACATTCAACACTTGTTTTAAGGCTGTAGTTGCCACTAAATGCACTATGATTTATTATCATGATTGTTCAGTAAAAAAATTTTGATTTTATATTTCATCATCAGGTTGACGCAGTGATAGCTTGCTCCTGATGTATTGTTGTGTGTCCCATTTTTTTCTGCTCTCTCTTTTTCTGCAGGTCTAGAAGCAGACTCTTGTTCATTATTGTTTATTTTTGTGGACCCCCCCTCCCCACCTTTTGTCTTTTCCTTTCTCTTTCACCTCTGTCTCCGTGTCTGGTCAGAATTACAAAGCATTCAAAAACAATAACAATAAAGTTTTAAGTATCAGGCATGACATGAAAAGCAGACGCTTTGATGCTCCACCTGAGAGTAAATCTATAAGGCTTGTTACCAGCATTCAGACATCAATTCTGTTTGCTTCACAGCCAGACAGGACACGGTAAAAAAAAAAAAGAATTAAACATAGGAGGAGTCTGGCAGGCCAGGCTGTAGATTTCGGCCATTGGCAGGAAAATTATTTTTAAAAAATCGGCATTACAAAAACCCAAATGTGTCAGCCTGTAGTTAAAGTGTGCAGTGGGGATAAATCTACCTACATTTTCCCTTTTAAACACTTTGTTTCGTTTTCTTGTTTTTTATGTGACTTTTTTTCTGTCCTGTTTGTTTCTAATCTTCCTGCATCTCCTCTCAATCCTGCAGAAAAACTGATGCCTGGCTTCCTATATTTTTACCTCATGAGTTACTTTGGAACTAAGCAGTTCAAAAGGATCTACCGACCGGAAAAAATAGTGCGCTGCGCCGCCAGAGCACAAGATAGGTGATGCGCTCTGCGTCTTCTCAACTCAAAAGAATCCCCAGAGCCTCCACGTAAATAATGTAATATAAGTAGAACCAGGATCTTTTTTTGGAGTCGTCCTGAGTGTGTACTGTATGTTGAGGGCTTCCAGGAAACCTGTTACCCTTTCAGGTGAGCCAGGCTCCCCTTAGCTTCCTCGTAGTTTGAACCCTACTCGTAGGTGTCTATGCCCAGCACTGATCTCAGCTTAGGCCCAGGTCTACTGTTGTGCAGATAGATTGATGGGTGACTTTTCATTCATTCATCCATGTATTTATCTACTTGAAAACACACCAACACAACCTAAAATCAAAGAATGAACAAAAGAAAACAATCTTTTATATAGTGCCTCTCAAAATAAAAATCACAAGGCGCTTTACAAAAACAAAAAATTAAGGTTTCAAAATATGTTTCAAATGACAACAAATGAAAAAAATAAATGTGATTAATAAGTAAGGAAAGGGAGAGATGACATTTATAGGAAAGGGGGTAATCTGTGGATCCTGGTAAAGGCGGAATAGGTAGAAAGAGCAGAAAGAAAGGGTGGTGAAGAAGGTCACGCCAAAGCTTGAACAAGTGAGTCTTCAGCTGCTTTTTAAAGGAGACCACTGAGTCCACTGATCTCAGGCTCAGGGGGAGAGAGTTCCAGAGTCTGGGGGCCACAGCAGCAAATGATCTGTCACCTTTGACCTTTATCCTGGTGCTACACATCCAGTAGGCTTTGATCACTGGACCTCAGGGACCTGCTGGGGGTGTAGGGACTAAGAAGATCACCAATGTAAGATGGTGCTTGTCCATGTAAGGCCCTATAGACCAGAACCAGGATCTTGAAATGAACCCTGAAGTTGACTGGCAGCCAATGAAGCTGGAGGAGAAGTGAGGTGATGTGGGTGTGTTTGGAGGACTTGGTCAGAAGCCGAGCATTCTGAACCACTTGTAGACGTTCAGGGAGGTTCTAGCCTAGTGAACTAGACCAAATTCTTGCTTTGCAAAGAATGGTCTAGGCATGCTCCATTGGAACCTCCACAGCTCCTACCAGGACTCTGGCTAGCCAATCACAACTCTCTAGAGGGGTTTCAAACACATAAAGAGCTGTGATTGGTCCATAATGGTGGGCCAATCATAGTGCTCTATCTGCTTAGTGAACAAATCACAGAGCTTTATCTGCTTTGTGGGCCAATCAAGGCACTCTATATGCCTGGTGGGTGGGATGATGCAACAGAGTGAAACAAGAGTGTGTCACATTCATTGTCCAGTGGAATGCGGAAATCATTCGAAAGACAACGGTAGAACCCGCCCCACAACCGAGAGCTGTCAATGGAGCATGGCCAGACTAAATAATACATTTATTTAGTCTGGCTTGCCAGGCTAGGGAGGTTCTGCTCAGACACGTGAAAAGAGAGTTACAGTAGTCTAAGCGTGAGGAGATGAAGGTGTGGAGAACTGTCTCCACACCTTTATTTTATTAAGCTGAGCTTAATAAAATTACCAAGCTAGATAAAGTGTAGTCTGACATTCCCTTTGTGAGTGTTCAGCTCCATGGTGGTAAAGTATTAGGGATTTTGTGTCAAAACAATTTAATAGGAGGTTTTTACTGGTGGCCTTTGTCTAAATTTAAAATAATACCCTTGTAGCTGTTTTACCAAGTTACAGAAATTAACCTAGACAAGGTAAAAACTAGTCATCTTTGCTACTCTGTGTGCAGGATAAGAACAAAATAATTATGGAATTCCAACTTATTTTATGTTTTTTTTTTCAAATCAAGTCTAACGTAATCAAATGAATGACTTCAGTCTGACTCGAGTAATGTGATTAAAGTCCACACCTCTGGCTCCTTGCTTAGCTCAGTGGTTCCTAACCTGGGGGTCCCGACCCCCACAAGGGGGCGCCAAAGCCTCTCAGTGGGTCGCCAGGACCTCTCCACTTTAAGGGGTTAAAACTTCATTTATTACTTGTTTATAGCCTACATTTTGCTCACATTTTTTTTCATGAGTGAAAAGTTTACTGATATTAAGACAGGAAATAATTAGTACAGAAAGAGTAACACACTTTTAAGAACATTTTGCTCAGCTCACTGTTTTTTCAAGTGTCAAAAGCTCATTAAAGATAGGACTGGTTGATTAATCACAGCCTTTACAGTAAATAATCTAGTATAAACAGTAATATACACATTTAAGAGCATTTTGCTCAGTGTATTTTTTATGTGTCAAATGTTTATTGAAAGGAATGATTGATTTATCCGTGTTTACAAGAAACAATGTGTTCAGAAAAGTAATACAAACTGTCAAGCACATTATGCTCTGTTTGGTTTTGTTAATGACTTTGTTCTGTACTGAAGCCTACTATTACTGTTATCTATTGAATCAAGGCATATTAAAATGTGCTTGAACAATTTTATCATTTCTTAATACGGTTTGTACTGGAAGAGGGAATGGGAGCGGGGGGGGGGGGGGGGGGGTCGTCAAAAATTTTACTGGTAAAAAACGGGGCCCTTGGGAAAAAGGTTGGGAACCACTGTCTTAGCCTACATGTGATAAACAGCATAAATCACTTTAAACTTAACTTGTTTTCAGATTTAACTCAACAATCACGTTTAGTTTAGAATTTACTTTGATGCCATTAAACAAATAATGTGTTTAACCTTCAGTATGTACTCTTTGATTGTCAACCATCTTGGATCACTATGAAATGGGGCACCATCTCAACAACTGTAGAAGCGTGAACCTGCAGTGTCCGGGTCTGCAGCCACACCCGTGTCCAGGAAGAAGGCTTCAGAAGAGGAAACGAGCCTGTTGCTGGAAGCAGGACCGTGATGCAGAAGTTGAAGCTATTAGAAGTTAACTCACCACTCCTGGTTCTTTTCTTCACGTCAGATTACATCCACATTGTTAGTTTTGTTGATTCTTTTAGTTTTTTTACCTACTGCTGTTAATTGTAATACTTCATTTTAAAATGTGTTTAGTGTTTGCTGGGAAGTGGGCGGGCCCTCAGGACCATAAACAACTGAAATGTCTGAAACTGTATTTTGCAGATGATTATTTTTTTCTTGCGCTGCTCAAAAAAGGTCTACAGTAGTATTGGGCAGACATAAAAACGGTAGAACGTGTCAACTATGGAACTAGGATTGGGACAATATTCAGCGTAACTTGTACAATATTCAAACTCCATTCAATTTGGAAGTCTGCTAGTTACAACATGAAAGTTTCATGTTTCTGAATTAATGTTTGATGTTACAAAATGAGTAGTAAATGTACAAAATAAAAGTTTGATTTTACAAAATAAAAAATACATCTACAAAATACAATGGTCCTGTTACAAAACAAGAAATACAAGTACGAATTGAGAATTACACGTTAGAAAACTAAAGTTACAAGTTACGAATCCAAAGTTACATGTGATGAAACATGTTCGAAGTTACAAAACTTGGCACAAGTTACGCTGAATATTGTCCCAATCCTAGTTCCATATCAATCCGTATCGGCAGCCTGCTGGAGAGAAAATGTCAGACAACTGCGACAACACCAAACCACTCCAAGCACCACAAATGGCCCCTGGGCCTCCACCTTTGGCATATTCACCACAGGAGAAAAGTATGCATGTGTTTGATTCATTTGAATCGAACAATAATATTTAACTAAAATTTTCATTTAACGTTAACTGGTGCATTCAAAAAACACTGCATGCTTTTACTGTTTAAAA